GCCTCAGGCTCCCAAGTAGCTGGGACTACAGTCACCTGCCACTATTCCCTGCTAGTTTTTTTTTTCCTATTTTTAGTAGACCTGGGGTCTCACTCTTGCTCAGGCTGGTGAACTCCTGAGCTCAAGCAGTTCACCTGCCTTGACCTCCCAGAGGCATGAGCCACTGTGTCTGGCCTCTCACTTAATTCTTGTAACAACACTAAGACTTCAACTATTAACATCTCCTTTCACAGGTGAAGAAACTGGGGCTTAACAGAGCTAAGTAACTTATCCACGGTCACACGGCAGGAAAGTACCAGCATGCAGACTCAGGTTGGTCGAGTTCTGGAGCCCAGGCTTCCCCAGCACCTGCACAGCTCTGCAGCCCACAGTCTCACCTCTCACTGTAGGAAAGTACTTCCCTGTACTGAAATCCAATTCTCCTGTGTACCCGGGAGAAAGGGAGAAATCAGAAATCAGGGAGACATTAGTTTCAGTTGTAACTGGTCTTCCATTTGGTCTTCCATTTGGAACTGGTTTCTGGAACTGTTCCTTTTTCTGTTGACTTGCTCAGGTCCTTCTGGCGTTGCGTTTGGACTAAAAGACTCAAAAACTGAACACGGTTCTGTCTCCTCCACTATAAGATGACAGCTACATTTGTAGGAAGTCATGCATTATCTAAATGTATGATATAAGAACTTTTCAGAGGAGGAAAAAGGCAGGGTTAGAGGATCGAAATTTTTAGATGTATAATAACAAAACTATTTTGTGACAGAACATCTAACAGGGATTTTGGTCACAAAGCTGTTTTTCATAGCCCTAGTGTATTGCTGGAAAAACATCAGCCAACTGTCGTGGCTCACACCGATTATCCCCGCACTTTGGGAGGGTGAGGCAGGAGCATTGCTTGAGCCCCAAGTTCAAGACTAGCCTGGGCAACATAAAAAAAATTATAAAATTAGCTGAGTATGTTGGCACGAGCCTGTAATCCTAGCTACTTAGGATGCTGAGGCAGGAGGATCACTTGAGCCCAGGAGTCTGAGGGTGCTATGAGCTAATACCAGCTCTAGATATTTATCTGAAACACAAGTAAAAATGTTAAGTACAACAGGGATCCGTTCCTGCCACTGGAGTCCAGACTCTGGATTGGAGTTGGTCATTCAAGGATTATCAACCACCTGTATTTATAAGTTGGTGCACAGTTTTATCTATCAGAATAGATGCGTATTGCTGAAGGACTTTGTCAAGTGCCTTTTGGTTTCAAGATGGCATAAATATGTGCAGTGTTGTCCTGCTAGGCCAGCCGAATGATTTTTTTTTCCAGAAAATAGATTTGTTTTTTTCTATTTGCGAAAGCAAATTCCTGCTTACCATGGCAAAATGCAGGGAAGTACTTAAAGGAAATGACCGGTGACGAATAATTCTGAAATTACCATTCACATTTCAGCATTTTTTTTTTTTTTTTTTTTTGCAGTTTATGGCCCGGGCTGGGTTTGAACCCGCCACCTCTAGCATATGGGGCCGGCGCCCTATTCCTCTGAGCCACAGGTGCCGCCCACACATTTCAGTGGCGTATTTATTTCATCTTTTTTCTGTGCTGATTTTTCACATCACAAAGCATGTATGTTCTCTATTACTTACATCCTGTTTCCTTGTTTTAATTCTTTAATTTTTTTTTTTTTTTTTGTAGTTTTTGGCCAGGGCTGGGTTTGAACCCACCACCTCCGGCATATGGGGCTGGCACCCTACTCCTTTAAGCTACAGGCGCTGCCCTCTTTAAAAATGGGCAGCGCCTGTGGCTCAAAAGTGTAGGGCATCGGCCCCATATGCCAAAGGTGGCAGGTTCAAACCCAGCCCCAGCCAAAAAAAAATTTTTTTTAATGACAAAAGATTTATATCTTTATCATTTGTAACATGTTATAAAATATGGATATAGGCTTGGCGCTTGTGCTTAGTGGTTAGGGCACTAGCCATATACACTGGAGTTGGTGGGTTCCAATCTGGCCCAGCCCAGGCCTGCCAAACAACAATAACAACAACAACCAAAAATAAAAATAGCCGGGCCTTGTGGCGGGTGCCTGTAGTCCCAGCTACTTGGGAGGGTGAGGCAAGAGAATCGCTTAAGTCCAAGAGTTTGAGGTTGCTGTGAGCTGTGATGCCACAGCACTCTACTGAGAGTGACATAGTGAGACTCTGCCTCAAACAAACAAAAAACCATATATATTGTAGGAATGGCTAAATCAAGTTAATTAACATTATTACCTCACAGAGGTATCATTTTCTTGTGGTGAGAAGACATAAAATATAGTCTGAACAATTTTTTTTGCAGTTTTTGGCTGAGGCTGGGTTTGAACCCACCACCTCTGGTATATGGGGCTGGCGCCCTACTCCTTTGAGCCACAGGCGCCACCCCAGTCTGAGCAATTGTTGAGAATACAATACGTTGTTAACTATAGTCATCATGCTGTACAATAGATCTCTTGAACTTATTCCTGTTACCGAACCAAAATTGTGTGTCCTTTGACCAAGATCTCTCCAACTGCCGCCTGCCCCACAAGCCCCTGGCATCCACCGTTCTTTTCTCTGCTTTTATTAGTTTGATCTTTTAGGTTGCACGTGGAAGGAAGATCATACAGTGTTTGTCTTTCCATGCCTGACATTTTACTTAAATAACATCCTCCAGGCTCAGCCTTGTTGTCTCGAGTGACAGAATTATTTGAAGGCTGAATAGTGTCCCATTGTATATACATAGCGTGTTTTCTTTATGCATTCATCCATCGGTAGACCCTGGAGTCCATATCTTGGCTGTTGTGAAAAGCAGTGACCATCAGCATGCAGATATCTCTTTTTTGACACATACTGCTTTTATTTCCTTTGGACACATACCCAATAGTAGGATTGCTGGATCAGACAATAGTTCTGTTTGATATTGTGTTTTTTTTTAATTTTTTTTTTTGAGACAGCCTCAAGCTGTCCCCCTGGGTAGAGTGCCGTGGCATCACAGCTCACAGCAACCTCCCAACTCCTGGGCTCAAGTGATTCTCCTGCCTTTGCCTCCCTAGTAACTGGGACCACAGGCACCCACCACAATGCCCCACTATTTTTTGGTTGCAGCCGTCATTGTTGTTTGGCAGGCCTGGGCTGGATTCGAACCCACCGGCTCAGGTGTCTGTGGCTGGCACCTTATCCGCTGGAGCCACAGGTGCCGAGCCTTTTTTTTTTTTTAAACAGTATTTCCTAAGTGTTTTCTCACTTTATTAAGCACTCTTGGAAAACAATCATAAAGGCTGTGTAATTCCTTGTATCAATCGTTAATAATTTACACAGCCATTCCCCTTCTGCTGTATTTGTAGATTATATCTTAATTTTTTGCTTTTACAAATAAGTCTGTGATGAACATCCTTTTGTGCGAGATAACCTTGTCTGTAATTTGCGTTGTTTCCTTAGGATAAACATGCTGAAGGAGGGGGATTAGATCTAAGAATGTGAACATGGTTACGGCTCACTCTTCCAAAAGAGAGGTAGCCTGGACCCCGTGCTGGCCATCAGGGGTCAGTTCTTTCTCTTCTGAATGTTCGAGGCCACCCATTTCATCCTTTTTTTATTAGCTGCTCATCCTATGTTAACGTCAGATTCACCAGTGTATACTTTTTAGATTACAATTTCTTAGCCTTTTTAAAAATCAGGCAGACATGACCCGTCCCTTCCGTCTTCCAAAAGCATTTCTGTTCTTGAAGTTTCCTCAAGGATGACGTTCTCATCTGTGAGCTCCCGCAGCCCCCCCCCCCCCCGACATGATGTATACGAGTCAGGAGTGAGCCGTCCGGGGGTGGCAAGGGGCCTTCCCATACCTTCTGCACTTGGAGCTTGCAATGCTCTTAGAAGTGTTTTTCCTCAGCTTTCCACCCTGATTAGTGTTCTCCTAATAAGAGAAACCAAGGAGGGTGTGTGGCAGAGACTGCTACCAGATGGACAGAGCCCATGCTGTCCTCCTCTCCTGGACACAAGCTGGGGGGCATTCCCCCAGATCCCCTGCAGTTGGCTGCGGCCTGTAACTGAGGTGCAGTCAGTGGAGCATGGGCAGAAGTGATGTGTGCCACTGCCAGCCTGGCCATTAATCATCTCCCTGCCACGGAGTGGAGATGACGCCCAGGGCAGCCTTGGAAGTCACGAGATGAAGATGCCGGAGCTTTTGTTGGCCGATGTGGCAGAGGAATGCCCTGCTGACCCACTCACCCACCTGCAGCTGTACGTGATTGTGGGTCTGTTTTTCTCTTGCCTCTCTGGGATCATTTGTCGTTATAACTTCAGTGGACTCTGCTGGTGCTCTGTTTCCTTTAGCTTTGGACCATGAGATCAAGCACACCTAACTCTTCCCCAAGTATCTTGGGATTCTCCTTCCTAGTTCTTGGTACAAAGTCAAGGTGTCCCCGACTCCCAGATGGTAAGGAGCTTTCTCTCACTTTTACCTTACAGTGAGATTCCCCTGAACTGGGCAGAATCAGACCCCCAGTGGTGCTTCTCTTGCCCATTTTCTCTGCTCTCTGAGACGTGGAACTGTCATTTTGGCAAGAATTTGATAGAAATGGTGCTTAAATTTTAAGAGAGTGCTCCCCTCCCATTTATAGCCACAAGTGGTGCATAATAAAGGTGGTTCCTGCTGAACAGAACATGCTGCTCTGTCCCTTGGTGAGTTTGGGTGGCTGAGGTTGGGGGGAGGAATAGGAATAACCCTACAGAACAAAGCAGGAAGAATTCGGAGTTCTGGAGGCAGTTCAGAGGGGAGGGGCTGAGGAGGGGAGGTAGGAGGACAAGGAGAGCAGGCTGGACCTCTGTGAGGGGAACCAGCCTGCAGAGATCCTCATGGGATGGGGGAGCTGAAGACTTTTGAGTACAGAGGTGTCTAACATTTGATCTGAGAAAGTTGTGTAGACCCCTCCACACAGGAGGGGCTGGTGGTGCAGCACTGGACAGGATCCTGCAGCACTCAGACGGTGAGCCGTGCCCAGGCTGAATCAGCAGATGCGAAGGCTCAGGACCAGAGTGACCGAACGTGAGTCCCTTCCTGCCTCGGCCCAGGCCCCCCTCCTTGGAACTGACCCAACATCTGAGGACGACTTTAGATTTCCACAAGGTAAAGAACAGAAATTGGAACCGATCTTATCCAGGGGGGCTCCCACTGACATCTGAGGCACATAATAAACCCAGCCATTGGTGAAATACTAGGACCGATAATATCATAAAGTAAAATTGAAAATTAAGTAGGTAGGTCAGGAATCTTGCCCCTTACAACCCCGAGGTCCAGAGAGATTACATTGTGTACCTACGGGTAGGTGTTGGCAGAGCTCTGCTCTGCTCTCGGGTTCTCTGGCTCCCAGTCCTTGTCCTCACCCCTGCCTGGGGGTGGCGGGAGAAGCAGCATAGCTTCTTCCCCTCCCTCCCTGGGCGCGGGGTGCTCCTGCCCCTTCAAGGGCTCAGCTCTTGCCTGAGCAGCTTCCACAGGGGCCTCTGAGTTTATCAATGACTAGTTATGGATGGTAGACGTGAGGAAGAGGTTCCTCCCACCTTGGAGACAATTTTTTCCTACTAAGGGGAAGCATGTGAGAAGTAAGTTCATTGCTGAGTTCATCAGGAGAACATGGAGATATTTATCATGAAGGTTTTCTTTGTTTCCATCGGAGACTCAGACCCCAAACCCCAAGGATAAACCAAAGGTGGGGAGACCCTGGAGCCACCCAGGCGGCCTTAGGGAAAGAGAGTCTGTTGTTCTGGCCCCCTGTTCTCTTGTCCAGATAAGGACGGGTGTTTGTGTGTTGACGGGTGAGGGGAGGAGGCTTCCCCAGTGCAAAGTGCCAGAGCGCAAACCGTGAGATAAAAAGTCATAAATAGACCCAGAGTCTGACCCGGAGCCAGGCTCTGTGTCCTTGGGCTGATAGGACTTGCAGGCCAGATCCCAGGTTCGGGGGTGGTGGTGCTGGGGCTAAGCAGCTGCTGTGGAAATTTCCATGGGCTGTCTGTCCGTCAGCTCTTTTGGGAAGCTCCGCTATCTGCATGGCATGGGAGTTTTTGCCACGTCATGGGTTATGAAAGAGACGTGAGACATGGTCCTAACCCATAGGGAGCTAAGCCCCTAGAGAAAAGCCTCCGGAATGCTTGCCAAGGAAGCAAGTGAACAAACAAGTTGGAAAATCTTAAAGTTGTAAATAAGGTCAAGGCCTGGAGCCAGTCAAGAACAGGTCAATATCACCTTCCAATGATTAGAACACTATTATTTCACCTTCTTAGGAAAATGTTGAAAATACAAACTTCATCTTAAGGGAAAAGCTGATTTTATTATTTCACTAATAGGATCACAACTTTTTGTTTGTTTGTTTGTTTTGGAGACAGAGTCTCACTGTGTTGCCCTTGGTAGAGTGCCATGGTGTCACAGCTCACAGCAACCTCAAACTCTTGGGTTTAAGCGATTCTCTTGCCTTAGCCTCCCAAGTAGCTGGGACTACCAGGGCCCACCACAACGCCTGACTATTTTTTGGTTGTAGTTGTCATTATCTGGGAGGCCTGGGCTGGGTTTGAACCCGCCAGCTCTGGTGCATGTGGCTGGCACCCTTGCCACTTGAGCTACAGGCGCAGAGCCACAAACAACGTAGTTTTTTTAAAGTAAAAACCCCCCAAACTTTATAATTTATTAGTTGTTGTCAAAGTTTGATATACTCTTAAGAATTCGGGTTATCCAAAGACATCCAGTTCTATATATTAGTAATTTTTAGCGAAAGCTTAGGTGTGCAATTTTGTAAAATCAGATGTTGCAACCATCCCAGGAATTGGAGGTGTGTTTTCCTCCCTGTCTAACAAGATTGGGGTCTTGTGTGTGTGTGCCTGAGGGTGTGCACACGTGTGCGTGTGCAGTGTGTGAACCTACAATGCATTCCCAATGCACTGACTAGGAAGGACGCCTTTGCTAGCACGTAAGAGGAGCCTTGAATTTGATTTATTTGTTCACACGGCTGCCAAGTTAAATATTAGGGCAAGCTTCCCATAGTTTTCATCAGGGCTCTGGCTCCATTTCTCTGTGATTCTCTCTGCCCTGCCCTCTTTTGTGGGTCAGATTCCTTTTTAGGCTGACGTATTCATGGTTGCAAGGATGGCCGAGAACAGCAAGTCAGGGTACATCTAGAGGGGGGAGAGAGCAGCTGTTGCTACTTGTGGCCATTGCCCAGAATTCCTAAGCTTCCTTCTGATTGGCCCCCTCACTGTGGACCAATCACTGTGGGCCTGCCACGTGCTGATTGGCTCAGACTCAAAAACTACCACCTGAGCAAGTGCATTCGGATTGGCTTACACCATGGGGGCTGGGGCAGACCTGGAGTTGGCCACCTAAATTGAAGGTCGCTACACAATGGGGAGGGGAAGGGACATTAGAAAGACATTCCCAATGTCCACTACACCTTGGTAGCAATTCAAAGTAATTAAAAAAAACATTAAGGGGTATTTTCTAGGTACAAGGCACTATGGGAGATACAAAGATATGCAGTTTACATTGTATTTTAGGTATAAAAAGACAAGTTGAGGGCGCCGGCCCCATATGCCTGAGATGGTGGGTTCAAACCCAGCCCCGGGCCAAAAACTGCAAAAAAAGAAAAAAAAAAAAGACAAGTTGACAAATAACACTATTAGATAGAATGTACAAAAGACGCATGAAAGTGCTAAAACAAAGGGCTATAAAAGTCAAGCAGAGACAGATTGCTGCTGGTCGAGGTGATCAGAGAGGCTCAGGTAGCCAGTGACACTGGAATTAGTCTTCGAGAATGAGTGGGATTTTAATTATTACAGGTGGGCCGGGGGATATTGGAGGCAGAGGAGCTTTAAGAGTTAAGCTGCAGAGAAAGCCCAGGGGAAGTTGGAGAGAGGGGCAGCCCAGGTTAGATGGAGCACAAGTTCTAGAAGCTGTGGCTAAGACAAGAGATGTCAGCCCAACACAGAGATCTCAGGGCTTAGATAATACCAAGGAACCAGGATGAACAAAGCCAGGGTGCCAGTGATGCCATCTTTATTTTGTCCCACGAAGAAAACCGGCCTAAGCCCCCCACTTTCCTGATTGGCAGAAAGTCCATCATCTCCACCGGGCTCCCCAGTTGCTCAGCTGTTCCCAAACCCATAGATTTATACAGTCCAAGGAGGGAGGGGGGTCAGTCTGACTTTCACACATGGGCAGAGGCCACTGGCTGACACATGTCCCCAGGACTCTGTGGGTCTTCAGGGAGGACAGTCCCATTCATGCCGCTTGGGTCTTAGCCAAGAGCATTTCTCACGAGGGTCCAGGGCCATGATTTCAGGGCTCTGCTCTTCAGTTAAATTTACAACTCCCCCACCCACCAAGTCACTAGCTGTCGCAGGGACTGTGGGTAAGAGATAGGTTGGGGTATCCTTGCCATGGTATTATGATATATCTATATATATATATTGGTTTTCACCCATGGTTCGTGGCTTATAATCCCTACAGCCCTTGTTACAGTCTCTTGTTATACAGTTGGGTGTGGTAGGCCTCAGAAGCAATGAGAACACTACTGCCCTCCACCTTCTCCTGTCCAAACCAGGACTCTAAGCTTCCCCCAGCTTTCTGATTGTGAGTCATAAGACCCTTATTCCAGAGAGGGTCCCACCCCACACCTTGGAGGCTAATCACATTTTGACTGTTGTTCATAAAAACCCAAGAGGACGGGGTTCAGAGGGCTTCCAGACAGCTGAACACATGGAGGTTCCTGGAGGGAGGGCACCGAGGAGGGCACAGAACTCGGTACCCCTTCTCCCTTACCTCCCCAACCCATCTCGTCCTTTATAATAGATCAAACTTCAGTGTTTACCTAAATGTTGTGAGCTGCTCCAGCAAATTAATTGAGCCCAAAGAGGGAACTCCATCATGAAACCTTCATGTTGGCCAGAGTTCTGGGCTGGGGGGCAAGGCTTGCAACTCTTGGGAAGGAAGGGGTGGTTTTGGGGACTGAGCCCCCAACCTGTGGAATCTGACACTATCTCCAGGTAGATAGTGTAGCAACTGACTTGGAGGACACCCAGCTGGTGTCTGCTGTAGAAGTGATTTCTCACTTGGTGGTGGGAAGGACCCTCCCCCTGGTCACAGAAGTCGTCTGGATTGGTGATTGTTGTGGTGTGAGAGCAGAAAAAAACACAGTCTGAGTATTTTCCCCTAAAACAATCATAGCTGCAGAACGCCGAGTTTTTCCTAAGGTGCTATCTGTCTACCCCCACCAGGATGGCAATCTGCCCTCCCTTCTGCGGACTTCTCCCCTTTCCTGGACATGCACATGCTCCCCGGGGGTGGAGGCACCTGTCTGAAATGCCTAACCATGACCAGGAACCCTGTCTGACACTTACTGGTGCAAGGAAAGAAAATGAAACAAAGTTCAAGAGCACCAGTGAGACGTTCTGCTTGACCAAGACTTGCAGGTTCACGCCTCTTAGTCTCTTCCAGGGATTGCTTATTTCACCCAAGGGAGCCAGGACCTCTTGTGGTCTTTTATTACAAGTTCACATGGACATTTAATCTCCTTGGTCATTGGCAAGATCTGTGCCCTTGGTCTGTCCTCACCTCTAAGCTGAACTTCTTTTCAGCCACTCCCACCCGGCTTTGATGGCATTTCCTGTCCACAGGAGGCCCTGAGCCTAGTGTCCGTCTCTTTTTGGACACACAGCACCTTTCCCCCCTCAAGTCTCCCTCACAGCCTGGCTCTTTTATGTCTAGTTCTGTGTATGTCACTTAAGAAGGTCGACAAGGGACTGGTACAGAGTCAGGCTTAGCTCATGGTTTTCAGCTTCTAGCATATGTGCTGCTTCTCTAGTTTACAAACTTGGGGACCAAATATGGAAATTGCTCCAAAACCTATGTGAATTAAAACAAAGCAAAAAAAGTATCCAGTGATTGTCTGAGGAGGAACAAAGTAAACTACACATTCAGCAACAGAGATGGCTTTCCATACACACTAGAGAAATAAAGAACAGGGGGATGAATTATCTGTTCTTTTTAATTCAATCAAGTCAGTTTTCTTTATGGGACAAAACAAAGATGCCATCACCTTACACCCTGACTCGGTTCATCCTAGTTCCTTGGATATTGTTGTGTGGGAGAGTGTGAGATCTCCTTTGTACTGGGCTGACATTTCTTGCTTTAGCCACAGCTTCTAGAACCTGTGTCCCATCTAACCTGGGCTGCCCCCTCGCCAATGTGAGTCAGAGCCAACGTGAGTCAATTCAGTTACTTCCAAATTTATGTCATATAATCAGCTCTCTTCCCTTAATGAAATCAACTTTGAACAGCTGCTTGGGGAGAGGTAAGGAGGAGGAGGGGCAATCGGAAAGAGGGACACAAGGAAACTTTTTGGACAAACAAAATTGTTCTGTATTTTGTTTGGGGTGTTGGTTACATGGTATTTCTTATTTGTAAAAATTCGTGAACTGTGGATGTAACATCTGTGCATTTTACTGTACATAAATTATAGCTCAGTTTAAACATGGAAATATTAAACTAATTAAGACATAACTGGCTACCCTCCATGTGCTACAGTGTGTCCAAAAGAAATTAATCTGAAAAAGCAAAATAATAAGCTACTGAGAAGGCAGACATGTGCTCCGAGCACAGACTAAGAAAACGGACAGAAAATCCATAGACATTGTTAAAGGGCTGAGCTGGGACGTTCCCAGTTTGGGGAGCTGAACCTCTTCTGGTGCTTAATCACTTCTAATTGTACAGCCAGCTTATTACAGTCATTAGTCTTGCCTTGGTTCAGCGGGGTTGGGCATTCCCTTAAATCATTTTCTTAGCAGGACTAGGCCAGATTTTCCTGAGTCTGGCAACTTGTTCACATTGTGGCCCGTGATGGTGCATCCTGGGGGCTCCCAAAATGATCTGTTTGCTGGGTTTTCACCAGGGAGCACTTGGGCTGTGTGGCTAATATTGGAGCCGGTGAGTCATGCATCTCAGGGCCCTGGGCACAGTGAGAGCACTCTGGGTTCTGCCTTGGCCTTGTTCTTGAGAGTGTCACCCTAGCCTCACTTAGGTCCAAGTTAATCACACTTTGAAAACACACAGGATTATTCAGTACAGCACTGTAATAGCAAAAGAACAGAAACAGTTTATATGACAGGAGACTGCTGAAATAAATTAGGGTTCATCCACATAACATAATACTAAAAAAAAAAATCAAGGATGCTCTCTGCTGGTCTGGAAAGAGCTCTGTGCTATGTTGTTACATGAGAAGGCAGAACGGAGTACACAGTAAGGCCATTTGTATAAAATACAAGAGTACACATTTGTATTTGCTTATATATGTATAAAGTAACTTTGAAAAGAGACAAGAAACCTCATAACAGATTATCTTTGGGTGGGAGAGTGTGGAAGTGTGGGACACTGAGGCTAGGAGATGGGTAGGAAAGGGGTAGAATTAGGGAAGAATTTCCCCTGCAGATCTTTTTAAAATAGATTTTTCTTTTGACGCCGTTGTCTCACTATATTGTCCAAGCTGGTCTCAAACTCCTGGGTCCCAGGGATTATCCCACCTCAGGCTCCAGAGTATTGGGGAGATAGGCCCTCACTACCATGCTTAAATACATTTTTAAGTAACCAAGTGGATGTATTACCTAATGTAACACTGAAATCAATTAACCAAAATGCTCAAAAGTTTTGGACAATAAGAAAAATTTTAGGGAAGAAGAAGCCCAGCATTTCCCAAGGTGTGGTTTGTGAAGGTGTAATGGGAAATTTGTATACTTAAAGCAGTAATGGACTCTGTTTAAGTTCCTACTTTCTCATATTCAATGAATAAAAGAATCATTAAACAATTAACTTTTAATGACAGAACTCTCTGAGAGCCCTGGGCTGTGGCCAGGCACACCAGGCAGCTGTGGGGAACAAATTCCAGGCTGTGACTTGGCTGCTCAGTCGTCTTTGGGCTTGGAAGCAACTCTTCTCTTGCTGGTGGTTTTGACCATCACCCCATCATTTTCACTTGCTTTTATTCTTAGCCACGTGTTTAATGAATACCCAGATGACTCAGGAATCCAAAAGAAGACTCGAGTTGGACACAAGGAGGTAATGTGACTTGTGAAAATTATAATTGTACAAAGCCTCCTGACCTTTTCTCGGTATCTGAAAGTTGCGATGGATTAACTTCTTAAATAGAAAATTAAGCTGTTGGACTCTAGAATCCAGGGTTAAAGAGAAAATCTTGCAACCGGCATACAAATGGGTATTCCAAGTATTAGATTACACTTTGACTTACCGTTTAGAAATAAGAGATTTTTAAAAAGAAATAAAAGATAAAATTATTAAAGAGTTTGATTTTGGGGGTGCAAGGTGTGAGCATTCCAGAGACCTTCCTTCTATGGATCAGTAACTTCAAGGGCTCTAAAAGCACTTGAACTACATTAATTAATAAATCAGATAAAACAGCAGAAAATATGGTCCTTCTTAATTTTTTTATTTCAAAATGTATAGATCATCTTCAGAGGTAAGTATGGTAACAGTATAGTAAAAAATAAATTTAAAAATACTTTTTTATTTTTTAAAGAGACCGAGTCTTGCTCTGTCACCCAGGCTCAAGTGTAGTAGCTTTATCATAGCTCACTGCAGACTTGAATTTCTGGGCTCAAGGGATCCTCCTGCATCAGCCTCCCAAGTAGCTGGGACTACAGGCACGCACCACTACGCCCACCTAATTTTTCTACCTTTTGTAGAGATAGGGTCTTGCTATGTTGCCCAGGCTGGAGTACAGTAGTGTGATCATAGTTCACCACAGCCTAGAACTCCTGGGCTCAAGTGATTCTCCTGCTTCAGCCTCCTGAGTATCTGGGACTAGTGGTGAGCGCCACCATGCCTGGTTAATATTTTTTAATTTTTTATATGTTGACCAGCTGGTTTCGAACTCCTGGTTTAAAGAAATCCTCCCACTTCAGCCTACCAAGGTGCTGGATTATAGCTGGGAGCTACCACACCTGGCCCCAAATAGATCTTAGTGAATGCATGATAAATGTTATGTTGGGTTTATCATTCACTTATTAGCCAAAAATAACTAAAATTATATAATATATACAATATGATAGGAATGGTCTTTTTATTTTTTGAGACAGAGTTTTACTATGTTGCACTTGGTAGAGTGCTGTGGCGTCACAGCTCACAGTAACCTCAAACTCTTGGGCTTAAGCGATTCTCTTGCCTCAGCCTCCCAAGTAGCTGGGACTATAGGTGCCCACCACAACACAATTGTTATTTTTTGTTGCAATTGTTACTGTTATTTAGCTGGCCCGGGCCAGTGTATGTGGCTGGTGCCGTAACCACTATGCTAAAGATGCCTTTAGTGGGATCTAGGTTTAGAAATGATATGATCTGACTCTTGCTTTAAAACAAAAAGGTCACTGTAGGAAGTGTTAGTTGGCTATTTTACCATAAGTTGATTTCTAAGCTCACTGAGTAGAGACTTCAGTGGCCACATACAAGTTTAACAAGCAACAACAACAACTATAGAACCTGGGAAGGCAGAAGAATCTGATTTTCAAAGATGTCATATTATTTAAAATGTCCAGTTTTCTTTCTTTCTTTCTTTCTTTTTTTTGTAGAGACAGAGTCTCACTTTATCGCCCTCAGTAGAGTCCTGTCACATCACAGCTCACAGCAACCTCCAACTCCTGGGCTTAGGCGATTCTCTTGCCTCAGCCTCCCGAGTAGCTGGGACCACTATTTTTTTTGTTGCAGTTTGACTGGGGCTGGGTTCGAACCCACCACCCCCAGTATATGGGGCTGGCACCCCACCCACTGAGCCACAGGTGCCGCCTGAAAATGTCCAGTTTTCAACAAAAAATTATGAGACATGCAAAGGTACAAGAAAATATGGACCAGGCATAGGGAAAAAAACCAATCAGTGGAAACACAGGTAATGTCCTAGGCATTGGACTTAGTAGGCAAAGACTTTAAATCAGTTACTTTATTT